GTTGTCGATTTTCCAGGGGATGAAAATACTTTAATTTTTTTTAACAATCGCTTTGTATTTGTAGAGTAGATTATGTTACAGAAAGATTAGGAACATCTGGAGCTAATTGCGTTGCGTTATTTTAAAAATTATTTATCTCCGTAAAAGCTAATTAGGTTTTAGATAAGCGGAATGTAAACACAGCAGGGAAGAAGTAGTGAAATTAATAAAATAGGAGAGTGGTTAAATAAACAAGGCAGACGTTAAACGAAGCTTTTTTTGTGTTTGGCAGTCAGTCTTGAGGAACGTTTTTTTTGTTAAATACAGTCAGTCTTACTGTTCGTAAAGTTTAGAGATTTTAATACGTCGTTATAAAACTGAATGTTTTAGTTTAAGATCAGATCAAGGGCCGTGTTACGTATATTTAATTAATTTGTTTCAATCAATCGCATGTGCGTTGCAAAAAAGTAAAAAACACCAAAGTACCCGGATCAGGAGACAAAAGTGCAAGTGTTGTAATATGGGGGAGAAAAGATCGGTATCATTTATTCGAGTGTCTCATCAAAATTGAAAGAGGAGAAGAAATTACAGTGGGTGGAATTTGTCATACATGCCCTCCATGTTCAAAAAAGGAGGCAAAAAATCGATTAACAACTATCAAGGAATTAGTTGATTAACCGTTAATTAAATTGGGACGTTTAGAACTCGAAAACTTTCACTTTCACTCAAACGAACTTAATTTGAAAACCCTTTACATGGTTTCCAGCTAGTGGTATTTGAAACCAGTAAAGGGGAGGTAATTGATGCCTGCAGGTTACCTGTCAGACTAATAAGTACTCACTACATTGATATCAACCAAAACTTGGCAACATTGAAATATAACATATTGCTTCTTATCGTAAGAAGAGGCAATTCAACAATAAAGTTTATATCGTTTTGTGGTATAATAGCAATTTTCTAACAGGCAACAGAGTCGCCAATTAATTCTCGCCCTCTTTGTAGGTGGACAGCTCGTTTTCCGGTGGTATTGAACGGATTTGTCATATTTTCTCTATTTCCTGCATTCGTTGCCTTTTAGAAGACATTTCAGTATACCATTCCAAAGTTCAATACAAAAAAAAACCTTTTAAAGATAAAAATTGATGACATTTTATATAAAATGGACGGACAGACAGAAGCTTTCTCGTCTAAATGTTATAATGCCGAAAGGAAGAGCGTTATAATTTTAGTTTAATTGTATTTGCCATATTGAAACAGCTACATTAGAGAAGGTTATTTCGCTGGTTAAAATTTTCCCTCGGAAGCATTCTCCTTTCCTGACTTTCCTTGCGTGTAATGGCTTTTCACCGGCATTTGTTAGAAAGTATGATCATAAAAGCTCGTTTAGAAAATGGACAACAAAAGCAATCTACGTTACAAGCTCAAATGGACTGATTGTAGCTAAAAATAGAAATGAAAGGTTGTCTCCGATTACTTTTCCTTGTGTTAGGCTTATCAATACTCCTACCCCTTGATTCAATGTATTATTAATCAACAAAAAAGCACTACCTTAATATATTAATTGCTTTCACGTTTCATTCCAAGCTGATTTTGTGAATAGGTACTGCACGTCTGCGTTTATCCGTGAGACGCTCTTGAAGCTTTATGCCGGATGCGCCGATCACTCTATACTGAAAATCGGGAATTGAATTTTCACTTTTAACGAGATCGAGATAAGAGGATAGAAATTGCAGTGACAACTACGTTGAATTCGTACAAAAGGATCAATACACTAATACTGATACAGGGCGCACTAAATGTCATTACAACCACAGATTTCTTGTAAAGGTGACGCATCAATTACATATCCGGGTTTCTTAAAAAGAGAAAAATTTCTTTCTCAGAATAACTTTTCCATTAGCTTTTACAAAAACTTGAATATCATTTCCTATTTCGAGTACTAACAGTAACCCTGCCGTTCTTATCCGAGGGTTAAATTTTATTAGGGTAGCTAGGGTTAGGCAGAGTTTAGTTCTATTAGATAAAACGTTCAATCCTCAATCCTCAGGACTTTCGTGATATATTTGGAGAAGAACGTAACGCCGGGGCGGCTGGAGCGTATGGAATACCCCCGTACACGAAGATTCAGTTTACCTTCTTTCGAAGGCTACCATGACAGTGAAAGGGTAATTTAGGGGAAAAGTTGGTAAGTCCTCATTTAATGTGGGGGCGTACAAGTATAGTCCTCGGAAAAAGGAAACCAAACCTTTGTATGTAGGGGACCCCCCCGGTGCGTACTGAAAATGTTCAGTCTTCAATTCTCAGAACTATTGTGGTATTTTTTGGGAGAAGAACGTAGCACCGTGGGGTACTCCATACCCCCCCTCCCTTTCAACATTTGTGTTCGGAAAATATTATCTGCTAGTATCTTCTATTATAAGAAGAGAACGTGAACAAATCTTCGCGGATTCTCTTCTCAAAAAACTCCTCTTGTAGATTTTTAAAGTGTATAGAGGTTAAAATGCAAAAAAGATACGCGACCAATTTGAAGATAATCTCTTTACGCATTCGGTTCTCCTGTTAAAAAATACGCGTAACAAATTTCATTTAAATCATGATGGCAGTTGAAGTATAAAACGAAAAGCAGGGTATAAGGTTATCGCCCAATATAAGAAAGACTTTTTTGCACATTTTATTCCTATGATGGAAAAACTACATGCAATTTATCCCTCAATTAAGAGAGGAAATACCTCCTCGCATAGTATGTGCAAATTGAAAAAGTTAAAGTGTAAGAAAAGAGTCAGCATACTAAATTCCCCACATAAATAAGGAAGGCCCATGCGCACATTCTGACTAGTGAGAAGTTCCGTGCAACTTAACCTTCAATTAATAACAGAAACACATCCCCTAATACAAAAGTACGGAAGCTAATGTACAAAAAAAGGCTTGGGAAATTCATCCTTTCTGTTATCCTAATAAAGAATGCCTAGCCAATTCGTGCAACTTAAGCTTCAATTAGGAGCAGAAACGTCTCCTCGCACATTATACAGGTAAACCGTAATTCTTGGTATTTGTATTCAGTACAAATCGTTTTTAAGTTTGATGAGTTACAAATTTTAACATTCAAAAAATAAGTAGAAATATCATTAAACATTCGGTCCAATTATTTTTTGGTAACAGTCTATTTTGTTTTTGTTTTTTTATTTTATTTTTATTTTAAGTTCAATAATAAGTGCCGAAAATCTTCTAACTGAGTTTTCTTATATACAGGGTGAGTTTTTTCCGAGGTTTAGTATGGGGATCTCGTAAACCGTAAGAGATACAAAGTCGCTTAAATGGGCAAAGAATTGCAGAATGATATGTAGATTAAGTTTCCCTTTCAGAGTTTCTTGTAGCTCTACGAACAACGAAGTTATGGCCAAAAAACCGAAAGATTACATTTTTGAAAATGCGCTAGCGTTCATTTATTTTCAAAGTTATTAACAAATAGTTTCGACAAAATCTAAGTAATTATTTCTCAGCTTTCTGATGGCGCTAAAATAACGTGTTTCGAGTAAATCACATCAACTTTCTTATTTCCTATTAGATTTTTATGTCACTCGATAGAGAAAAAAATTACCAAACCAGTGACACTAAAATTCTCAAGATCGTTTATAATTTTGTATTCCTTTGTCTGTCCGTCTGTCTGTCTGCCTGTCCGCGTGCACGATACCTTTGCTTAAAAACGTCCAATCGCTTCGAAAATTGGTACACGTCATGTTCTTAAGGATATAAGAAAGATCGTGCCAAAAATATCGTTCGGTATTCATTTGTATCCTTTTGCTAACAAAATGGTCGAAGGTCGTTTCAGGTAAAAAGTAGATAAGTCCATTTATTCTTTACTACGGGAATTGTATTCAGGTAATTTTAATAAAATGAGCTAGCCGTGGACAGTCAAATTTGAAATAAATCGGTCTGTTATACTACTTCTCATTGAAAGAGGAAACCCGGCGAAGTAAATTAAGAGAATTTTCCCTTGCTTGTCAAAATTTCGATAACAGAAAATGTTGTTAAATAGAAATAAGAATGTCGCTGGGAAAAACTTCTACACTAGACCAAGCTTTCTTTGTGAAAATGACTGAAAATTAGAATTCTGTCAAAAGCTTTCTCTTATTTAATTTAAGCACTTTAGAAACTGAAAGCTTGCGTGTTAGATTAAGAGGATTATCGCTCGTTTGTTAAAATTTCGATAATCACAAACTTTGTAAAAGCGAAACGTTAGTGGGAGAAAAACCTGTTTACTTTGCATGGTGATTTGGGACCAAATTATCCTTGTTGAAAATTAAACCAAATAAATGTGTATCAAAAGCTTTCAATATCCCGATCTCCCATTTAATTTAAGCGCAATTCATTGAAAGTGGAATCAGAAACTGAAACCTAGTGTATGCCAAAATTTCAATAATTGAGCAATTTGATTGTAGAAACGCACTCTTTATGGTTTACAAAGGAACAAATCTTGAGCAGAATTAAAAGAGCTTGAGCCTCTGAGCCCCCCCCCCCCCCTGGTCACAAAACATATCAAAGTTCTTCAAACAATGCTTTAAAATATCAAGACATTCGAAGCTTAATTCTCTTCTTGAAAATTAAAGTTGTTCAGAAGTGTTACGCAACCCTCATTAACACAATTAAAAATAACCCAAATTTAATTAGAATCGTCCCGTTTTTTTTAAAAACAAACCATTGCTCTTTTGGAATTTGTAAAATTCACACAGCGCGACACTGACATTTCAGTTTACATTGCGGAAAGTTATAAACTACGAGATAAGTTCACAGTAGCTTGCATTCTTCTCGAAAACCGCTATTTAAATTTAATTTACAGTAAACTAGCGGGAATTACTGGATTTTGTATTTAATCTCCCTTATTACGGCAAAAACAAAAAGCTACTCGCGCTTATATAGTTACCTGAGTCTAGATCGCTAATTAAAATCTCCCCGACGCCGCCGCTCTTCACAGATTATCCACTAATTGACCGGCTTATCTGCCGATATAATAATCCACTTACCTCGCCAAACAGCAGGAACCACAGAATTCCACAGCAAAACAAAAACTTGGGAGGGCACCGCATTATACTACTAACTCGTGTAAAAAGAAAACTAAGGGTAGTAACGGCTGTTGCTTAAAGCAACACGTACTTTTTTTGGTGTAAAAAAAACCTGGTACGTTACTCTAACATAAGCGAAGTGCGCTTTCGGGTTTCGCAGACGCTCGACGTCGGTTATATAGTAGAAAAGCTTGGCGGGGGTGGCGAGCAGGGCGCAGGACGTATGTCCTGTCCATTTATCCTGTGACGCCAGCCTACGTGCCATTCGAATTATTATTCCAATAAAATGACATATATGAAGGCGCCCCCCAAGACGGCAAACCACCAAGTGTTGAATTTGATTGATTCAAATTAGATTTCCATCCCTGCCTGCTTAATTAACTAGCTATTGGTTTATTGAAATGTTTAATTAGTTTCTAAAACAAACATCAATCACGGTTTCATCACAAGCAATGTGATGTTTGTTTAACTACCTTTGTCTGTTAGTCTGGCAGGAACGTAAAAATCGCTGAGGATAATACACAAAGGGCGGAAGTTTAAGACCGCCATACCTTCAATAAAATACCGATGTTAACCCTCTCGCATAAGCTGCATTCTTTCCTAAAAGTTTGGTGTGAGGGCGGAAGTTATCGTTCAGCTGTCACTGATTGGCACATTACTAATTGCTTTTTGTGGATTTCGATCAATAAGCTGAGTCTAATCGTACGTTTTCACGGCGAATGTCGCTGTTGATGCATTTAAAGAAGCTCAATAGCAATCTGGAACTATGTGGACCTTCAGCACAGCAAACAATGCAATAATTGAATTGCAGACAAGTTCGTGTTTCTGTAATACGCGAGGGCATGAAACATTTAAACCAAAATACCAGAATAGTTAACAGGATTCTTCCACGAATTCCAGATCATTGTTAACTGAGGGTATGGCGGTTGCTCCCTCGTCCCGAATAAAAAGACGCTGGCTCTTTCACTCTTCCCCAAGAGGAAGCCAAAATTTACAAGAAGTGAGCGTTAAAATTAAGGCAGCACTCGGGAGGGCTTATAATTTACAACTTGAGAGCTGAACTGGTAATCTTACTGGATGCAGCCTTTAATCTGAAAGCTAAAAACCCACTTTCGTTTTGAGATGTTAGAATAATCTCTACTACATATCAATCCAGATTTGTTCTTGCGCTTCGTTTATAAACTAAAAAGAATATAACATCTGCTGCGGATTAGAACGATAATTTCATAAACTTTCGCAAGTTAGGTTTCTAAGAACATTCTGACCGATGCACATTTTGAAAGATATAAGTGTTTAAGAAAAATCTTAACCTGTGAAAGAAAATTCCAAGAACTTTAACTTTTTGCTGTTTCAGAGGTTTCACTTTAGACTTAAGACCAGTAAATCTCATCAGATGTCATACCCTTTTGCATATTTAGCAAATGTATTGTCAGCTGTGGTGCTGCAACAATTGGTTGACGGTGGTAACTAACAAACAACAAAAAATGCATCCAAAAAAAACTTCAGATGCTCAGTCCCAATGCTGAGAACTCCCCTGAACGATTTGATAACTCATGACATAGGGTTTTCCTGTAAATGTGGTAGAAACAAGTATAAATTGTGCAAAGCGCATTTTTTAAAACCGAAATAGCTTAGTAAATGGTTGCGTTATAAGGTAGTAGCAAGCTATATTTATCGATGTTTTCTTCCAGTCAACATTAATTCCAAAATGTAAGTGTTTTGTATCACTGGTTTTATAATTTTTTTCTCTATCGAGTACTATGAAAATCCAATATGGCGTCCGTAGGAATAAGAATGTGGATGTGATTTACTCGAAACCCACAAATTTTATTATAGCACCACAAGAAAATTGAAAAATGCATTGCTGTGTGGCGCACTGATGTGGAACCTCAATTGTGGTACAAAGGGTCCCTGGTTCGATCCGGGTTCGTAAAAGTAAAGACCCAAAATTTAAAAAAAGTGTTAATTAGAAATATTTTCAAAAAGATTTCTAAAGAAAAAAGAGTCTAGAATTGTTTGAAGATGTTCTTTTAAAACTTCTACGGCTGCCGGGAGAGCTACCGTTTTTAAAAATTTTGACTATTTAAAAAATCAAAAAAACTTTTCTAAGAAATTTCATCGAAAATTTGCTGAAAGGTTCAAGTTCGAGGAAGAGTTTTAAAAAGATTTCAATGGAAATTTCAAGAATATCAAGAGATTTTAAAAAAAGTGTTCAGAATATTTTCAAGAAGATCGAAATATTTCATAATTAGCAGAATGTTTCCTAAAAAATTGTTAAGAGGTTTTTCAATAAGATTTCTAAGAGACTTCTGTGAAGATTGCGAAAAACCTTTCTAAAAATTCCGTAGACAGCTGAAAGATTCCAAGTGAAGTCCGTTTAGAAAAATATTTCTAATGAAATTTTAAGTTAGATCGAAAGAATGTTCACAGAAAATTGCTCTAAGAATTTTTCAGATTTCTAGGAAGATCTCTAAAGCGCTTTCTTAAAATTCCGAAAACGTTTTTCAAGGTTTTTCTGGCAAGACCCAGCAATTTCGATAGGATTTTAAGGTGTAATAGAATAAAGAAGGATTTCAAATCGATTTCTATGAACATTTCTAATATTTCAAATAATTCCCCTGAACTCTTTTTTAAAACCTTATAGCCAGATTTTGGAAAAGATTCAAATCGGGTTTCTATAGCGGACAGATTTCCAGGCATGCTCTGCTCATGTCCTCATGTCAGTGCATTTTCTGCTATTTGTGAGTCGTTGTCAGTCATGAACCCGAATGAAATATTCTTAATTTACGTTACAATCGAATAACAACAAAATACACCTCATAACCATTTTTACAGAAAAATGTTTATTTAATGTTGAATCCAATTGGACACATGAATTTGGATAATGATTTCCATTGAACGTTTAACTAATTAAATTTCAAATGAGAAATCTTTCTTTTTTAACTTATTTCATGTGTTCCGAATAATACTTCAGGGACAATGTTGAAATTTCCCCCTCAAGGAATCACGCCTTCGCGCAAATTCGGCCCCAAAACATCTTCTCGCCTCTATCAGAATGAATTACTGCAAGGGAAACACCAAAGGATTTACTTTAAGAGAATTTCGCCTTGGGATAAAAAATGATATGTTGTTTACAGTTCCTAAGTGACAAAATCAAGAGTGCACCCCCGACGAAAATGTGCAATTATTGTGTCTACTTATTTATAGAATTTCGCCTGTATTGTATAGAGCCTCGAAATGAATTGGAAGTTCGCATTTGTAAAAGACTCAATTTTAAAGTATTAATCTAGCGTTTTTTAGTGTGTCATACGTGGAGGCTTTCCAACTCTGAAATTCCAGGTATTATACACCGAATTTCCAAATTTTCAAATTTACTTCTGGATTCAAGTCTGAATTTAGGTGTTAAATTCAAATTTTAAACTGAGTCTGGATAAAACTGTTTGAGAATTTCAGGAGCGTTTTAGACCCTTGACCGTGCTTCTATGACTTTTATGTGTCTTTTAGGCCTTTTCCGCAAAGATTTCTGGTTCCTTCCCAGCAAAGTTCCTATGTAGAGTAATAAAATAATATGAGGTTCTTAAACTTTATGATTGTGTAAAAGTCAATATCCAGGATATACTTGCAACTCGTTGCGCGTGCTTTAAAGACTTTATTATACACTTGTATCTTAATATACTATTTTCGAATAATTAGATTTGCGATTTTTCACCAAAGCTCACTCAGGTGTTGGAATAGTATATTAAGATGCAAGTGTATAATCAAGTCTTTAAAGCACGCGCAACGAGTTTAAGGGCACGACGCGAAGCCCTCGTGTGAGATCTAAGGGAGATCAGCGCATTTTTGTGTGGCAGATCAGTATTATATTAGCCACCATCAACAAGATCTTGTCGCAAGCTACCACATTCCCTTAGTCGGTACCCGCTTTCGACGTCCCGTTCACCCACAATTCGCATTTAGATGAATTTTGCTAAAAACCCTCCACAAAATAGTTCTCAATTTTTGGGGCACTTCTCATAGCTCTATTAGCGACACGAGAAAGAGAGATCGCGATTCGAGCTTTCAGAAACAAAATTCGCAGAAAAAACACGCAGTTGTTGTGTCCGCTTAAAAGATCTTTCCAACGGCACCAATTTGAAAACAATCTGAAAACTGATGGTGGAGTAAAAACTTCAAACTCGAATTGAGGGTGAAGAGGACGTCGGAAGACAAATGGAATGTGGTAGCCTTCGACAAGATCTTATTGATGATTGAGTCAAAAGTGGCTAAGAGAATATTGACCTGCCACACAAAAATGCGCTGAAGTCCCTTCGATCTCACACGAGAACTTTCACAATTAAAAAAAAATGACTATTTATTTCTCTAGGTGATCATTTGGGATAAGTCCTCCACTGAAATGTAAGTATCTCGATCGCACCAAATGGGTTTCATGGGTTTAAACTATTCCAGGACTACCATTTGGCCAATTACAGCAAGTAATGACCCTTGTCCGGGGCAAGAGTGTTCTGGAATATGGGTTGATATGTATGAAGATGAACCTTGCTGGACATGTGTATTCTATGACACTTGTCACTCGCACGGATGCCGTGATCCGCACTCTTTTTGCTTGTTTTACAATGAAAGCTTTTCGATGGATCAATATGCAGTCATTGGGCAATGGGAGCTTAGATGGGGGTGTTATAGAGGATGACTTTCGTTTTTCAGGTCGGATGAATCCTTGTGCGGAAAGACCTTTGTTAGACGAGGGAGGGCAGTTAACCGCAGTTTGCGATGGTATCCGTAAGCGTCCAACTGGATACATTTGTGCCGTGTCCGTATGTTGCGAGTCACTTCAGACGACTACTCTAGGTTCATGAGAAATTTGTAAAATCGTCGTTTGCTTTGAATAAAGTTGAATAATGGAGTCATAACTAGACCCGAGAAGACCGTAGAACATTTTAGAAATCAATAAACACTTTTCAATTAATGTAGCATGAAGAATCAAGAACCTTTAATAGTTATTTATGCATCAAGGGCATTAAAGCGATATTTATGCCGAGGGCGACAGAGCCCGAGGGCCTCCGGCCAGAGGGATTGTAAGTCAAGTCACCCGAGGGTTAAATATTGAGTAATGCCTGAGGTGCATATAACATTTTATTTTTCATCATTCCAAAGAATGCAT